TATTTCCATTTGCTTTTGCCACATTTTACCATTCTTGGAAAAGGATGAATGATTGCCTGAACAATTTGTGCATTTTTTAACAGTACTAGTGCAGTCTTCCGTCACATGATACCTCTCGCTACAATGAGCACACGTCCCTGGCTGTGTACAGGTGTTAACACCATGACCATACTTTTGGCATCGAAAACACCTCAATGGATTTGGGATGTAGACTGCAACTGTGATACTACAGTAACCAACTTTAACAGACTGAGGGAGACTTGGAGTTGAGAATGAAAATAGGTATGTGTTGGTCGGAATCAGTTCGTTGTTTTTGCGGGTGGTAAATCGTTTGACATATGTCACACCCTGATCCTTCATTTCCGATACAATGTCCAGTTCTGACATGTCAGCTAACAAACGGTCTCTGTCTCTTATAATGCCTTTGCAGGTGTTCAAGGTTCTATGGGCAGTGACTGAAACAGGGATGCCAGCAAAAATTTTCATTGTCAATAGGTTAGATGCCTGCTGTTTTCTACTGCACTCAATCAGTAGAGAGCCTGAACGTAAGCGTTTGATGTTCTTAACGTCGCCTGCAATGCCATATATCCCCTTAGAAATAATAAAAGGGTTCAACTTGAGGTGGAGTCTTGTCAACAGTGTCAAGAACTAGGAAACGTGGCCAATTTTTCTGTTAGCGTGGATTCATTCTCTTCATTGTCATTGTCTAGTTGTCGTTTGGTCTTTTTCGAGGGAGTTTGGTAAGCCATGTTGAGTTAGTAATTGTTTCATCATCCGAGCTCCCCACCCACCACGGAGTATCATAAAGACAGTGCTAATAACAAGTGGGTCTCCGACTTGCAGCACCAAGGATACCCGGATGACATACTCAAGCAGAAAAACTGAAAAATCAATTATTCTACCAGATTGGCCCATGAGCCACCGCCTTCTGGCACCAGCATCTAGGCAAAATTTCACAAATTTGAAAATCCATATATCACATATTAGATACACAAAACAAAACATGTCAATACTGTGTTTAAATAAAACCAAGCCAAATAATATTAGAGCAAAGACATTTAGTGCTCAGGGCTCGGCGTGACCAGCCGATTGGTTGAACCGGGCCAGTTCAACCACCCGTCTAGGTGAAGTAAGGGTCGAAGTGGTGTATTGGGCAAAGGAACACTGTTCCTGGAACCAGTGCCCTCAACCACAGGAATCCCGTCCTCCACCGACACAGGGGCGCAACCCACGGCAAACGGGTTGGTGGACCTAATATCCCCCCAGGTCCACAACGGGGGGTTGAAGGGCGCTTGGCGTGACCCAGCACCCACCACGAGGAGGTGGCCCTTCATGGGTGCCAAATTGCAAAGTAAACATGGCTGACGTTTACGATGATCTAGCCCTGAAGTATTAGATGCAAATCGCAGAAGTCTTATACAAGTGAATTAAACTGAACATAATGGTTTACAAATCACATATTTAATTATCATAAAACGTTTTCCTACATTTATCGCTTATCAGCAAAATATTTTTTGGGAGTAACAAGCGAACTCGGTGTTGTAACGCAAATAAGGGTACGAAATTTCGGCATGTTTGTGAACAAAGTCGAGCGGTTATCAGTTCGAATAATAAATTGTAAACTTATATGCACATGGGCACATACTTTAGCGGCGTATAGCATCAAATAGTATACCCTCCCCTGTTTGGCGTTTCAATGTTTTAAGACTGAATATATGAATCAATGTCATGTTAAACATGCTTTAACTGATGTGTCTTGTCTATACTATTTTGGGGTAGATCCAGTCACGTCTTAGTCATTACGTCTCTCAAACACTCATCATAGTCATTCATACACGGCTACACATTCTCAAGGTGGGGTTTATGCCGGATGAAGCGGCCGAAAAATCTACACTTTTTTGTATGCCGACGAATTGTTTTTACTCTTTTGGAGAGAAAAATAGTGTAATTAAACTGCATAGTAACGAAATAATATCAATGGTCTAATTAGCACTTTTAGGCAAGTTTCTTTTCATATTTTCATTTGGTTGGTTGGTTGGTTTAACGCCACATTCAGCAAACTCAGCAATATGGCGTCGGTCTGTAAATAATGAAGTCTGAACTAGACAATCCAGTGATTAACAGCATGAGCATCGATTTACTCAATCCGGATACGATGACATGTGTCAACAAGTCAGCGAGCCTGACCACCTGATCCCTTTAGTCGCCTCTTACGACAAGCATGGGTTACTGGAGACCAATTGTCTTAACCTCACCATTAACATATGTGCATCCAAGGGCTATAAATGACATATAACACTGCAGAAAAATTTATATTAGCTTCCAAAAAACAGTTTGTTCAACAAGAGAGTGAAGGTAACTTTTACTCAATTTTCCTGCCAGAGAACTTTCCTTTCACATACAAAACCACCAATTTGAATACGTCGTAAAGAAATTCTAATTTAGTAATATGGGCTGATTTGAATGAACACTTTAAACTTTCCTGGAAGGTTAACATTGCATATTCTGTACACGACGGACCTTACAGTAAGTACATGATAGGGATTATTACACAAGCAAGTGTTTACTATGACTTGTACTGAACGACCGAGAGCAATACATCAATTTGCACGAGTTTCGCATAAGTCGTATGACACACTTGCGAGTGTAATAATTTCTTAATGGGTCAAAGTCAAGTCAAAAAGGTTTATTGTACAGAAGGCGTCTGGCCCATATACAAGGGAGTATGTACACATCATACTGTTACACACAGGAAGTAACACGTTCTTTAAACAGTTCATTTCTTTTAACTAGTGCATGTTTAATATGTAGTGAAAGGTTTAATAAATGGGATTCGTTCTTAGCCGTTAAAATATATACGAAAGCTTTCAATGGCGGCATCCCTATGAAATAAGCTTTAATATATTTCTTTCGAAGGTCACTATAAAATGGACAGACGAACACAAAGTTAATTTCATCTTCTATTTCTATATCGCATAACTGACAGATTCGGTTCGATTTTGCAATGGAATGTTTTCTTCCTTCATTTACAAAAAGGTCTAACAAACGTAAGGTCTTGAAAGTTCTATAATCAGCATATCGTGAACTATCTTCTAAAGTGGAATGTCATTCCTGCTAAAACATATTAACAGACCGAGTTCTAAATTCTTTAAGAAACATGTCTACACTTCCATCTGACTGACATAACCATATAAAACCATAACCATGCGAAAATAGAAGATTCCTTATTATATGCGATACCCATGTAATACTCGTGAATGAGTAGGTTTTACTTGTCAAAACAGTGCACACTTACGACTCCCAACTTCTAAGTATAGAATCTACGAAAGCTGTAATGTGGGAACTTTATCTGAAAATTGACACACCAGTCTATACATTTAAAACATGTATCGACATTGAAGTCATAACTCAAGTAGCGAAGTATTTGTCGGTGACGACCGATAAACGCTGTCGGAGTAGTGACTTGGCCACTGCCAAACCTTCCAATTGCGTGGTGACATTCTAGCAAGAGCGCTTGATTGTACTTACCAGCTGAAGACAAAATGACAGAAAAGGTGAAATTCAAGTTGAAAACTTGAAAGGATTTTTAGAAAGGTCAAACACTATGCATTTTTATAACATAATGCCATTCAAACATGAATATATACCACATCTGCACCATTTGCGAAAAATAGTAAAAATTATAAATATGCACCAAAACTAAAACCACTTTAGCCCCGCCCACTCGTATAAATATTTATATTTTTAGCGGTCTGCCGTCTGTGGGTGTGACGTCATACTCGAGAGTCCGCTCAGTGTGTTGACATTTGAGTAGTGTATACGCCATCGAGTTGAAAGTGACACGAAGCGCAATATTTTGAATGAAGCGTTGCTGTGATTATGTATTGGAAACTGACAACTGCACTTCGAGTTTTGATGATTTAGATGATTTCAACGAATAAAGTTTTTCATGGACCTGCAAAGAAGTATGCACAACATCTGACGACATTGACTTGCTAGTCTTGCTAACCCGGTGAACAAAGGGACTGGGACAGATTCTGTGAATGCAGACGTGAATCAGCAGTGTTTTTGGGTGGACTGGAAATCAAGGTCAGGGCTGAAGAGCGGTCACTTTGCAGTGGGATTTCGTCAACAAGTTGCTGAATTGACTCTGCTGTACCCCTGAAATTGTGGAGTAATTATTCACACTTTGAAGTGAACATTCTTGTGACAGGATATCTGCATGATATGCGTCCCTGTTCCGCATTTTTTTTGGATCAAATGTTTTTTTAGCACAATTGGCTGCAGAACAGTTGAATCGAAATGACAGAGTGAGTAAGTGAGTGAATTAATATTTAACGTCAAATTGGCAATATCCCAGCCATATCGTGACGAAAACAATTTATACAATAAAAAGTGAAAACATTTTGAAGATTAAAACCTGTCGACGATCGACAGTAAAAATACTAGATAATCACAGATATAATATAAAACCCAGCTAGCAAAGCTGAAATATTCCAATTGAAAAAGACAATACAGTATAAAACACGGACTATAGATCGCCAACAACTGAAGTTAGATCACCATACTAGGAACCATGGGGAGTTGCATTACTTTTGCTTCCTGCATGGACCCTAGTTGGATTTACACAGAAATGACAGAGAAGTTACGTCAGATTGGTTATTTGGGGTTTCGTGGAGTGACTACATGGACACAGAATTATTCTAGAAATTGCGGTTCGAGTTAATCTGCCTTCTCCCTCACGCATTCTACAGCCACTTGACGTGCCACCTTTTGGCCCTATCAAAGCCAAATTCAGCAGTCTTGCAACCAAAGGTGGGTTTGCCAACAGCCATATATGATCATTGGTAAGGCTAGATTTCCGTTTCTCATGAAGCACTCCATTGATCAGGTATGCTCTCCTGCTGGAGTCAAGGTGTCCTTCAGGGAAACGGGAATATATCCTTTTTCAAAAGAAGCTATAGACCAGACAAATACCAGCTTGTTGCTGCCTCCTTCAGGGATGGAAAAGACAGCTCGCAGTAGAGCAGGCATACGAGAGATGGAGAGTAAGAAAGAGACAGATGCGCGAGATCGAAAATGAGTAACCTTGAAGTGTGTTTGAGCGATCCAAATGGTTCCAGTAAGTGTGACACTGGATGGTCTACATGTGGTAAATGCGATGATTGGTTCCAAGAGGAATGTATTCAAAGGAAGGGTTGTTCTATTGTATGCAACAGGTGAGGAATGAGAATGAAATAATTGTGAGTAAGAACTTAATGAAATAGGTCGGCATACTTTATAGGCACTGCATTAGTTCATAGTATGCTATATTAGACATGATTTGCCCACTTCACTTCTCAACGGTAAATACATATGTTATATTTGATAGCATATACCACAATTCACAAATGAATAGATTTCATATCTGTATAAAAAAGTATAATAATGTGAAAAAACATCCCCAAAACAGTTTGTGAATTGTTCTGGATATGTTTTCAAAACGTTTTACTCACGTGAATTTGCATGGTTCTATAAGTGTTTTACCAATTTTTCTTATGAATGTTTGGTTATAAAATTCAGCAATAAACAAAAAGGCTTCCGAAAACGTTACAGTTCCGGAAACGTAATATAATTTTCTGTCAAGATGTGGTTTTAACTAAACCACTAACTACCAACAATAAGGTTACATGTCTATGGAAAAAAGACGTTGTTACCCTTAACAAAGAAAGAAAACTGAAAAAAAACAAGAAAGGCAGACATGTAAGCAACACTCTTTATTATTTATTTTTTCAGAGAACAATTGTCGAGATTATATCAGAATCTTCTTTGGTTTTGCCTTCAATTTTTTTTCTGAAATACAGAAAACCTTGATAAATCTGAAGCAGATACTTACAATGTACAGTATATTTACTCAGGCCAAGAGACACTTATATTTGTGTCCACAGTGAGCCAAGCAGTTCCCTTACAAAGAAAGTTCTTCAGACCTGGTGCAAGCTTTTCCCCATCAAATGCCAGGCAGATGCTCGTCTGTGAATGCTTCATTTCAAATCTGTTCATACCTTCTTTACAAATACCTGAAGGAATTTGTCTGGGCCAGCTTCCATTGTATGGGTCGTGATGTTTCAAAACATCTTCAGATGCAATGGAAAGAATCAGATCTGCATTAGAACTTAATATCCTGGTCCAGCTTGACCAGAGGGGAGCGACCCAAACATGTTACATCCTGTTAAGGCACGAATAGGTGCACCGCCAAAATGTTATGGACTTCTCATAAAATCTAATGGAAATTAAGGAATCGGATCCAATGGCCTTGATAGTGTCTCAAAATATCTCAAAGGTTATCCCATGGAGGTCCGTTTTTTATCCCCAGCCGTGCGTTTAGCGCGAAACGGGGGATACGGTATTAAATTCCGTCCGTCCGTACGAATTGGAATATTTTAAGAACCGTGGACTGGATTTTTTTCATATTTGGTGCCTAGGTTCATCACAGTAAAAGAAAGGTCCCAGTCAGGTTTGGTGACCTAGACCTTCATTTCAAGGTCACGAGGGGACTTTAACGTTTTACCCTTGTCAGCAGGATATCTCAAGAACCGTTCATCGGATTTTCTTCATATTCAACATCCAGCTTCATCTGGGAAATGTGCAACGCCCAGTCGATTTTGGTGACCTTCACATATTTTTCAAGGTCAAGGCGACGCTTTGAAGACTTCAGCATGTTAACCTGCGTGTAAAGATTGTCAGCGCGATATCTCACTGGAAATTCACTGGATTTTCTTCATAGACTTTCAAAACTTCCCTTGAATGTTTTTCAAGAAGCAATTTCTTTATTACTATTTTTGCATATTGCATACGCTAAGACATTCATGTAAAAGTGAGTCTTGAAAATATTTGTGCGTTTGAACATTGACTGGTCATGTTTTTGTTGACATTTAACTTTATCTTAAATTACGACCTTCACTTTCATTACTTTTTAAGTTTGATTTGATATTTTGCGGTGGGGGATTATGTCACCTTAGTGACAATGCTTGTTTTTATTAGCAATAATCCTTGGTAGTTCAAAGATGACATTTGGCTTGCTTTCATTTGACATTTTTGATGATGCTAATCTGTACAACTCCAAGAATTCTTTCTCATCTTGATTGGCATCACTACAGTAAGTACTCTTTGCTTTACCGCATGTTTGGCAGACATCCAATACTCCAATTTCGCTCGCCGTAAGGGTGTTGGGACAGGATATTATCCCCTGGAAGCTTTCCACACCATGTACATAATGTGTCAAAATGGTGGCTGTTATCACACTCATTATATTGATTGAAACTAGTGGCAAAATTTTCACAGTCATCACAAAACTAATGTTTCTGCACTTATGTTGCAATGGTGATGCAAGGCTGTCTGACAAGTCGCCTCAGAAATCTCTTTGATGGTGTACTATGGAATAAGAGTTTGCATATTTCTTCTTGGAAGGAGGCCCTTTGTCAACCGGTTCACTCATCTGAATATAATATTCTTTCGAGAAAATGCCAAAATTACTTAAAAGATCACATTGATAATGACTACAAGGTATTAACTAGGTGCTTATTATTGGGAGTCATTTGAAGTTTTAGTATTCTTTTCAAACAAAAAACCTTTTTTCGTTGCCATGTCAAATATAGTCAGCAGAAGACGAAATATCCATTGTCTCTCACTAAGTATACAAAACAATTTGAATGATTTTTTACAATTATGACAATCCTTGCCATACCACAGAAAGTTTTTTCGACGACTTTTAAGATTCCGCGTTTGTTTAGACGAGAACAGTTTGACGACTTTCCATAAGTAACTGAATTCAAGTAAGAAGGTAAATATGTTTGTCTATACAATAGTAAAGCTTCGCATTTAAACAGATAATGGAGTTCATCAGTAGTAGGGGTAAGTAGCATGGGAGTTACATACATGTGACGCAATTATGGCGGGAGATAGCATAATGCGGAAGTAAACACTGTACATGTAACGCGGAAGTAATTGCAAAGGAAGTAAGGGCATGGTTTTGATAACCGCATTTTGTGTCACTCACGAAATGTAAATACTGTGAAGAGCCCACGTTTTTTAACTTGATCGGATTGATTGCTCCGGCGTGTTTTGGAGACCCTCTCAGTAGGTTCATCAGTAATCGCGACAGATCTATGAGGTAATTTACCTTTTCCCTAGCGACTTTAGTTGTTTTTGACCTCTGTATTTTGTAAACTCGACGCTCCGCTGAGAGTGTAGCCATAGCTATGTCTCCGTAAATATCGTTCCACAGAAGACTTTAATCCACGAAGGGAATTGGTTTCGAATTCATTACTATCGACCTTTTGGTACACACGATAAATTTGCACATAAAGTTGTGAAGATCCACTGGGGGTATACCACAGAGGCCGTGTTTCGCCAAGCTCGACGAGAAACTGGGACACCAGATTCGTGTCACGAAGAGTGTTTGTACATTCTTGCATCTGTGTCAGATTGTCAACATCATTGTCACTCACTTGTGCGAATGTTGCGTTTACACAGTTGTGGTTAGAATCCTGGTGCGGTAGGGTGGCATATGACATGTTGTAGCTGATATTGTAGTTGTAGTACATGTTGAGGTTGTAGCTAACGATGTCTGCTGACCTAACGTTGTCAATGTGGATGGGGCAATTAATGCTAGTCGAGGTTCCATCACTTCCGCTGACCAATCAGCAATTTTCTCAAAAATTTCCAAACCAATATCTCTTAGAGATATCGCTTGATCTTCTCCAAGTGATATCTCCTCCAGTAACCAGCATTGGATGATGAACTACTCGATGAATGACAAGGGGAAATTGCTGTGTGTCAGTTTTATTGGCTAGACATTGTTTCACGGGATATATGTTTATCATCAATCACCAGCGATCAGTCGGAGGCGGATCTATGGGTTTTAAGCGAAAACGGTGTTACAGAGATAGCCAAGTAATAGTTACTTCATTCTAACATGAGAGCATGGTCCAAATATACCATGGCCTGGTCGCTGGCGATTGATCGATAAATTGTCCCGGGCGTAGCATCTTATGCTTCTCCTAAACTCCCTGTGGAGTATACAATATACCTGACCGTTAGAAACAAAGTATGCATACAAAATGTGTCCATAGACACACCTTTCTGAGAAGATTAATTGCTTACGTTCGACAAATATTTAACAATAAAGTATTTTCTTCACCTGTAAATTTCATTATCAAACTTATCTTACCTTGTGAAGCTTCAACAGATGGCCATGACCGCAGACAAGGAATCTTTGTGACAGCATATATGTCAGCTGATTCAGAGTGCTCTCCTCTATGACCTTCAGGCTGGGCAGCTACCTCTCAACTTTCACATCCCGAAAACTTCGTAGTTCCAGAACTTCCCGAAGATCCTTGTATTGGCTTAAAATACAATCAGTTACAGTGGTACAGAATAAATACACCAGATCTACAACATATCAATTTAATGGTATAGTAACACAGTATTGACAATTGTTTCAATATTTTCCATTCAAGTAAAATAATTATTCACCAACACTTCAGTCAAGAAAGAACTTGAAGAAAAATCATCCAGTTTTGTCTTGCACTTTGTGTCCCACTCGTGTTGATTGAAATAGTTTCTAAATGATGATGTAGCCATTCGTTTTTCCCCTGCGTTTGGTAACATGCAGTTACGCGCACATCGCCATCACCAATCTGTACAACTGAAAATAAATGAATAAATAGCCTGTATCTATAAAACAGACTCGATACCAAACAAATAAGTTTATCACATGAATAACACAATTTTGTTTGGTCCAGATCCACTCGAGGAGAGCTATCTTGATCTACAAATATTACTTATGATCTCGATTATCCAGCTCAAGAAATAACAGCACTACTTCCATGTGGAAGTGGATGATTTGAATGCTGGTGACGAAATACGTTGAGTCTTTTGCTTTGTTCATATGTTGATAAAGTAAACGTGAATGACTTACCTTGGTAATATTTCCACCATTGTGACTTAAGAGTAGCTTCTCTTCATAACTGCTGAGCAAAATAATAGTAAACGTTAAAGCAGATATTTTGGTCAAATTCATGGCTTATCGTGCTGTGTCGTGAA